TAGAGCCGTTCCTGGGACATATGCATCATATATATCATCACCCTTCCCATCACCATCTCCTCCCCTTCCTTCTTGGCTCTTGCCTCTGTTATTTGTGGGGAACTTCCATCCCCTCTCAAAGGATCACACCTGCGTTTAGAGGTGCCCTGGAGGTCTCACAAGGGCTCAAGACCGGTTTTGTCACGTTTCCCCTCCAGCGTACTACCTCAGGTCCCACTTCCATTCACGCCACCTGCGGGTTTCCCACCCCAGCCCTTGTGTGCCGCTAGTGACACCTGTGTCTGGCTTGCTCTCTCTTAATATGAAAAACATGTGAGTCCTTAAAGTGTACTCTTTCCTGGGGTCCTAAGACATTGCTTCTGCATCGCAACCCTGCAGAATCCTATCATCTAAGCTCTGATGCAGTGTTCCTTCTGCTGAGTTTCCTTTATCCCCTCTCTCTTTGGAATTGCACATATGTCCGTGGGGCTTAGTCAAAACCAATCCCCTAAACAGACACCATGCTGCCCTGTCCATCCCCTTGTGCTCTTTTCTCCAGGCCTCAGCCCTTTACCTACTCCGCTGCTGACTCCCTCCCTACCAGCTCACCAGACACAGGCAGCCATGTGCAAACCCCACCTTGGGATTAGCTGACCCCCTCCTACAGATCTATAGACCATTGTCTGTTTCCTGTGTTGGTGAGCACTCCCCAGCTGGATCACAAACTCCTTGACGTTAGAGAGCATGTCTGAGAATTCTGCACCTTCACAGCACTTAGTTCGGGACTGAACATAGGGGCGGCTCCCACAAACAGTTGTGGGTTGACTGATTAATTTGCAGTAGTCTTGATAGGTCCTGGCAAAACCAGAATGAGAAACCTCTTTGGAGAGGGAAACATTTGTTGCCTCTGGTGGAGTGACCTAGCACCTCGGTTAGTTTAGGACTATCTTGGTTTTAGCACTGAAAGGTCCCATGCACCCTGAGACCCCTCAATGCTGGGCAAACTGAGATGGTTGGTCACCTAGACTAGGCTTCCCCAGTTTCAGATATGCCCAAACACTCTAGACCAGATACCAGCCCTCTCATTGTCCAACCTCACATGTCTGCCTACATGCTCCTGCACAACAGACACACTCACATTCACTCACTCTCATGAGTCATACCATCATTACCTGATCCCCCACTGCTTTTTTTTTTTTAAGTTTATTTATTTATTTTGAGGTGGGGCAGAGAGAAAAGCAAAGAGAGACAATCCCAGGCAGGCTCCACACTGTCAGCACAGAGCCCAGTGCAAGGCTTGAACCCGTGAACCGCGAGATCATGACCTGAGCCGAAGTCAGACACTGACTGAGCCACCCAGGCACCCCATGTTCCCCCACTCTTGCGGCCTGTATCAGGTCATGTAAACTAGTGGTCCACAATTGCCCCCAGACTTAACAGACCAAAGGAAAATGTACTGTCATCTCAGCCTTTCCCCCCAGCTTTGTGACCTTCCCCATTACCATTCTTTCCAATAATCACTTTTCTCTAATCAGCAGAGGATAGAAACACAGGTCTCTCAACCCTGAGAGGCAGAATTTCAGATATTGCTGTCTTCTGCCTTCTGAATCCTTGCGGATGGGTCAGGATTTGATGTGTTTTCGAATATCGGATTGTCATTCTTGGGAACTGAAGCTGAGGAAAACCCCTGGTACATGAAATCCTTCCCCCCACAGCCATAATTGCACCTTTCACACCGATATCAGCCCTCCACCAGCACTTGGGTCCAGCACAGCCTCACCATCTGCTCATGTGACACCAACATTATGGCCTCCCTCCACGCATCCCTAAATGGGGCTGGAGAAGGCAACAGAGATGGTGAGCGTGCCAGCTGGCACCAGTGACACAAACCTAGACAGCGATGAATCACAGCCCAGGACAGAGAGGAAGAAGGGAGGATGCTGATGGCTAATTGTGCACCGTCATCAGAGCTGCAAGGCGGACCTCTCTGTTCACGGAAGCAGAACCAGGACGGCATTTCTGTTCCTGCAGTAAATGCAAAGCTTCTTTTTGATATGTGGTCATGAGAGAATGTTCAATAGAAAGGAAACCTAGAAATCAAGATCCGAATTGTTCTGTTTTTGCTTCTGTGCATCTCTAACTGGCATAACTGGGGACTCTCCAGGGAGTCTGGGGATTACTTGAAAATGACAGGCAGGGGTTTCTGGCTGGTCAGGGAGTCGGAGCAGAGTAAACAGACTTATGCTGATAGGTCCGTTCTGTCCAGGAGGCTCCAAAGTTCCCACCTACCTCTACTCCCCTGAGCCTCCCAGGTTCTCTGTTCTTTACTTTATGCCCTGCAATTAACTGATTTGTGCATTAATTCAGTTCTCTCTGAATGTTGCTTCCAGGATTCATTGGCCAGGCAGTTATTCAAGGTTTGTTCTATAGATTTCAAATTTGGGCATATTGACCTTAGCTTTTTTGTTGTTGTCATTATTGTTGATTTTGATGTATTTGAAGTTAGGACAGTCTATGTTCTAAAAGTTTCTATTCTACGTTTTTCTAACGAGTCGTTTTACCTACGTATGTTTTTGCTTTTGTTTACTTCACTTTCATCTTGACCTTTTTCAAATGGAGGTGGTAGCACAAAGGCACCCAGTAAAATAGGACACTTGTCCTCAATAGAGGGGGCTAGCTGCCATTTTTGGGTTTTGTTTTATCCAAAAGCTCCCATAGACCCTGCCTGTTCTCCAAGCAGTTATTCCCCAAGGGCTGATGAAGCCAAGAGACAGAAATATGTTTCCAGCCACATGGAGGATATACAAAGAAATCCCAGATCAGGCCTGTGCAGGAGGCACAGGTAGCCCTGGAGGTAAAGTCCCAACACTGTTGCAATCATAGTGTGTTCTCAGCTCCAGAACATTCAGGTCAGCTGGCTAGGTTCCTTCCCATCAGGTCATCTCAGTTGACCAGTGAAGCACAAAAGAGAAACTTCATGGCCTTGACTTCATACACTAGCAGCCAACAGGAACACCTGTTAGCAAGGGCAGCTTTGGAGTACCTCTCTCTCACTCTTACGGGAAACAAACTAATCCAAATCTCTCTGTGGCTAAAGAGAAAAGAAACAAAGTGCTGAAACAGCAGAGATGGCTGGCCTGAGCACTGGTGATTTACATGTGGTGCCAAGAAATAACTTCAGGTGCAGAGAAACACACAGGAGTGTCCAGAGATTACTAGATGGTCAGAAGTTGTGACAGCAGGTCCTCTGGGGAAGAGGGACAGAAAATGCCAGATGGTAAAATATCATTCATATACAACCAGAGAGAAGTCGTGTATGAAGGACAACAAACGGAAAGTATGATCTATGACCTACCTGAAGGTAAAGGAAGGTGGCAATGGATGAGGCCAAAAGGTAAAAGACCTTTATAGAAGAATGGATAGGAGTTTCTGAATGCTTTCAGCTATAAGAAGGAGAAACTGCAGAAATAATTTCCCGGAAGTAGAGGCTGTGCCTGGTTTCAGAGAGTGGGCAGAGTGTAAGGCTTCTCTGCTATGTTGTGGCTAAAGAAATGGATATGAAATAGGTAAGACTGCCATTAGAGTCGAGCCTGTCCTCTGCCCCGTAACTCTCCAGGCTTTTGTGTAGAACGAAATTTTGATGCCATAATACAGGTATTTTTTTTCCTCTGAGGATCAGAAAATGTGGGTTTCTAGTCCCAGACTTACACAAACTAGCTATCATGACCTTAGGTTAGTCATTCCAGGGCTTTAGATTTTAAGATTCCAGCTTTAGATTTAGAACTTTAGATTTCCTAAACCTTTCCTTCTCCCTCATTGACCCATAGGTACTTCCAAGTAAAAACAATTTTAAGCCATAAACGATGTACAAACATGTCCTCCCAAGTTCTGATTTTATTCCATAATGATTATTTTGATACTTTTTAAAAAAAACAACACTTTAAGATATTTTGTCTCCATTTTAGTTTCCCTACTTTGCTGATTCTCAACCTAAGTACATGTTTAGCTTACTTGTTGGATAATTCAGCAGTGGTCAGTTCCCCATTCAGCCTTCTCATCTATGAAATATAAAGGTTTGAGACGGGAATATCTCCAAGAACCCTTTCAGCTTAATTTTCTGTAGTCTCATAACCTCAAAAATCTGTTTTCTATCTACCTTTATAACCATCTTATCCTGGTACTTTGGTGTTTCCGAATATGAATGAGACAATGAATGTCGACATTTCTGTATTCGCTCAACCTCTCATACCTACGAAAGGCTACATCTAAACCTCAGTGAGTGGGACATTCGTGAGTCAGAATTAAAGGATAATTATGTCCCTTTTTATGTCTAAACCTTAGGAACGATCTGTGTCTATAATAAGATGTTATCAGGAAAGTCCTGGATTTACTGGGAGAAAGCATTTTGGAATAAACGTAAAACCTTTTTGGAAAAGGTAACAGCCGTGACTGATACAGGCCGCCTGTACTGTGTTCCTCCCTGCCAATAATGAAGGGTGTGGTTCTGAAAACCTGCCTCAACCTTTCCAGGTTTTAGCTTTCCTGTGCATTGGTTTATTCATTCATGATTTACCTGCCTCTAACATTTTATAATAAGGCAAGTTTATCTCTACTATTTCATGAGCTTTCTCATGAACAGCTCTCACATCTACATCTTGCCAATTCTTATGCCGCTGCCCTTTGACTTTTCCCCTCTGTCCTGAATGGAAATATTACCTTGGCTCCCGTGCTTCCTCTGAGAGGGTGGCAGCAGAAGCTGGGTCTCTCTATAAGCCTTGCTGTGGTCTGCCTTTCAGATGGGAGCCGTTAATTATTTTCTGGGAGGTTTCTAGAACAGATGTTACAAGGCAGACAAGCAAGCACACCCTCCCTGAGCCCAGAGCACGCTGAGCCAGGCACGCACACACTCGCCAATACCAACAGAGGAAAGCTGCTGGGGTGATGGAGGGAGTGTGCTCTGAGGGGCAAACGCGGCTCCGAAGACCTGCTAATGTCTCTGTGTGGCCATGCTGTATTTTCAGCTTGTCATCATGGCTGGGACAGTGCTGCTTGCCTACTACTTCGAATGCACTGACACTTTTCAGGTGCATATCCAAGGATTCTTCTGTCAGGACGGAGACTTAATGAAGCCTTACCCGGGGACAGAGGAAGAAAGCTTCATCACCCCTCTGGTGCTCTATTGTGTGCTGGCTGCCACTCCGACTGCTATTGTAAGTACAGAATCGACTTCCTTTTTTACTGTCAGATACTAAATAACATTTCCTGTCTGCCTTTTCTCCTCTTTCCTCCCTTCCTGGGCATTCACCAGCAGTCTAACGGGGGAGGAGGGGGGTGCGGGGAACGGGGGTGTCCTGTTTCAGCCAAAACAGTGAATGGAGTTCTGCATAAAAATCTCATGAACATGGGTCTCGTCTTTTATAGGTGGCTTTTGCTTTTTGGTATCTGAATTATACATATATGTACGTATATGTATGTATATATACATATACACACACACACACACATTTTTAAAGTATGTGTGAATTACATAAATTGACAGGCATGATTGGCTAACATGTTAAGAACAGCTACTGTGCTCTTGAAAAAATATGCAGCGAATTGGGTCTATTCAGGAGAGGTCTTGAATGTAGATGCCGGCACTGATGGAAAGAATCGGACCAGAGTGGAATGGAACCCCCTGGGCTTGTGTCTCCTGCTGTTCTGACTGAACTTCCAGAGAGAAATCACCTGACCTGAAGTTTGCTGTCATTCATTCTTGGTGGCTCTGGCCACGTTCACATTATATCACATTCAATTCAGTTGCAACTTTACCCTCCTTCTATTTCATTCTTCTCTCACATGAGGGGGCAAAAAAAAAAATGGCCAGACTATGCTCAAGGGAAACCATTTCAAAAGTATAAAATTCACAGACCTGTATCATCTGGTAAATTGATTGAATCCTTAGACATTTTAATTTCAATTTGTAAAATGACTTTGTGTTTTAAATGACTTTGTGTAGCATGTCTGAACATGCTACACGGTCAGATTCTTTGGGATGTAATCTCGGTTATCATTCCCCCCCCCTTTCTCTTCTAATAGCTGCCTCCCCCAACTCTCTCCCTTCCCCTTTCTTTTGGTAATATTGACTGGCATGCTGAGAAATATACTGACCGCTCAGACGTTCAGTTCAAGTATTGTTTTCTATGCAAGTGATCTGCTTGCTTTAAGGTGAGAAATGGATGGGATTTTGAGAAGAAATAATATGGGTATAATGAGTCATAGACTTTAAGTTCGTTTTGATCATTGATCCTAGGCTCAACAAACCCTCCCTTAAATGATAAGACCATGCTGTTGCAATTAAGGTCAGGGGTAATAAAACTGTGGTGTATCAGAGTGGTTAAAAACGCAAGCTCTGCAGTCTGACACAGCTGGATTCACATCCTGTCTATGTGACTTTGGGCGAGTCACTCACTCTATTGGCCACCCCACCCCACCCCCCACCATGAAACATAGGGAGAATATGACTCCCTATTTCATAGAGTTGTCATGAGACTTGAATGAGATGGTTCATACGAATGACTCGGCACAGCGCCTGGCATGTACTAAGTGTTTAGACGTAGGGGAGCAAAGAGCCTGGCTGGAAACTGTTCTTCATCGTCTTCAGGATCACAGAGCAACTTCCTCTACATAAAGGGAATGAGATTCCACTTGGAAACCCTGGAACCGCAGCTTCATCTAGAATCACATCCTGGTTTCTTTCTGTCTCAGAAGCATATCATGTTCTTGTGTATTCAGACATGACGCTAAGTGATCCGTTGACTTAACTTATTTTCCTCTCTTCTCCCTAGTCCCAGGATATACCATTGCCTAGAATCTCCTGTAATGACTTCTTGGAATTATAGTTTTTGTCATAAAAAAAAAATTAAGTAAAGCAAGGGAGACAGATTATTATTAAAAATTATGGTCAAAAAAATTAGTGAATCAGAAAACAATAGAATAATAAATAAGATCAGGAGCTAATTCTTAGAAAAGTAGAATGTGCAACCCCCTAGATAGTCTAATATAAGAAAGGCAGGAGTAAAAAGAAAAAAAAAGTTAAAACACATACATATAAGGAAAAATACATAAACCTATAGAAGTCTATATGGTATTTTTATTTGAATTGTATTTACAATTCTGTGCCAGTAAGTGCTTGCACCTCAATAAAATTGGTAACATTTTATGAAAAGGTAATTTACTAACAATGCCCTAAAAAGATGTAGAAAATCCGAATAGTGAATAAAGATAGAATAAACTTTTTAAACATGTCTAAAATTTATCTCACAAAATATACTGAGGACACATAGCTATAGTATAAATTCCTTCAAACTTTCAAGGAATGGAAAAGTCATAATTCTATAAAATGTTCCAGGCCCTAAAAATAAAAAGCTTTTTAGTGCACATTACAAAGCAAGAAAATATGGATTTTAAACACTGAGAAAGTGTGCATGCACACCCACAAAAGCACCCCCAATAGCAAAAACAATCTCACTTTCTTTTTTTTAAATTTTTTTTTTCAACGTTTATTTTTTTTTGGGACAGAGAGAGACAGAGCATGAATGGGGGAGGGGCAGAGAGAGAGGGAGACACAGAATCGGAAACAGGCTCCAGGCTCCGAGCCATCAGCCCAGAGCCTGACGCGGGGCTTGAACTCACGGACCGCGAGATCGTGACCTGGCTGAAGTCGGACGCTTAACCAACTGCGCCAGCCAGGCACCCCAACAATCTCACTTTCAAATATTGATGCAAGCATATAGAAAAAGATTGACAGATTTGTCTACCTAGAAATGAGCATTTCTAACAAAAGAAAAAGTAAAGACTGCAAAAAGTTTACAGCATATAGGACTCAAATGTAAATATCCTTAATACTTAAGAAAATGAGCTTCCCAAAATAAAAATGGGAAAGGGCAAGAATAGACAATTAACAAAACAATGACTGTGCATGTAAACATTTCTAAACTCATCAATTATCCAAAGAAAAGTAGTTTTTACAAGTACAGCATTTTCCCCTATAAATTTTCCAAATGTTTTAAAGACAGAGAGCCATGTTGCTGAAGGTGTAGATACTTTCATACAGTTCTAGTTGAAGTGTAGACTGCTATTTTCTTTTTAAAGCGTAGCTTGTCAAAGATGTATTAAGAGTTGATAAACTTCAGACTCAGCCAGTAATTCCATTCCCTGAATTTATGTTAAGGAAATGATCAGTTTTATATAAATACAAGGATTTGTGTTTTGGGGATGTTCATTTAGGCAATAGTTTCCGTGAAAAACTTGGAACTAGCTAAATACACAGTACTAGGGGCTTGTATAAATACATTGTGAGGCAGTCGTGTTTTTGAAACACCTTTAGTAGCAATGAAACATGGTTTTGATTTAATGTTAAGATTTTTTTTAAGGGCTAAAAAAATTGTATATACTATTGCGTATAAAATCTTTCTCCCTTTCACAAGAGAATCTGACCATATCTTAATTTTCTGGGTCTATTTCCCTAGAAAAAGGAAAAAGGTGGTACGTATCAACTGTGTTGCTAGGCCAAATTAACCCCTGATTGGTGAATTGCATCTGGACTCAGAGAACTATAATTACCCGAGGAGGTGCCATGCTATGACTTCTAAGTGCAATGACTCTGGGACCTTGGAAGCTGTGTCTGTGGAGTTGCTACACCATATGCTGACTCCTACAGGGCATGAGGCTTTTAAGCCACAGCGGCTCCTTCATCCTCTGATATGTCTATGATCTCTTGCACCTGAGCTATACTGCTCTGCTGGACCACTGTGAGGACCCGTGCTGGAAAGGAGCACGTGATGTTTCCCTGCTGGCGAGCTATGGTTCCTTCCAAGTAGACCAATGCCAAATGTAGCATGTGGTTGTCTGTGGGTCTGAACATTTAATGACTCCAAGAAGATACCTCGTGTGTATGTTGCAAGTATAATCCCTAAGTTATATATAAAAAGACTAGTAAGAAATAAACTAAACTACTAAATAAACTAAATTAAAAATGTACAGTTATTATCTGTGAGTGCTAATGGTACAGTTAATTTTTTTCTTCTCTTTTATACTTTTATATGTTGCTTTCCAAATTCTACATGAATGTATAGTATTTTCAAGTCAAAAGATACATTTTTAAAACATTATATACGCCCATTCTTCTGGCAAAAATTATGAAAAGGCCAATTTTTAATAAGACTTAAAAATGGCGACTCTAATGAACAAAAACACACATGGCCCAAAACAAAAACGAAAAACAAAAATAGGAAAACAGAACTTTGTGGAGAACTTTCTCCTCTCTCTGGGAAAAAATGATACCTCTTTGCTTTTAAGGTTTTTAGCAGAAACTGTTCCTTTTCCCCAAATGACAAAGTCAAGGGGTATGGTAAATAAACAGTGAGCTAAGGACTAAGAACCTAACCTACAGCTCTATTCTAGCTCTCAAGTATGGAACACTTTCCATTTCTTTGCTTCTCTGGGTGAAAAATGTGACCAGTAATGCTAGCAGGTCCCTAAGATACAAGCTGAGGAATATTCCATAAATGATGATTATAAGAATGACATCTTTTAATTTATTATATTCTGTAGTCCTTGCCTAATTATCCTCCCAGCATCCCAGTGAAATAGAAAAGAGACATCCCAAAGAACATAGAGAAAGGGTGTGGTTCAAATTCCCTTCATTTTTGAGTTGAGAACCTTGAGACTTAGCCAAATTAATTTGCTGAAGTTCCAGCTAGTTCTGTATGTTACTGGACAGATAGCCACCCATTTGGTTCCACTTTTATTTTCCTCCCAAATGAGGGTCACTGCTAGGAGCCAAAACCGATTACAGTTGACAGGTTAATGGCAGAGAGCCCTGTGGCCTCGGAACCCTGCTGACAGTGCTGGGTGTTCCCCTAAGACCTGAAAAAAAGGTCCTCTAAGGTTTCTATCCTTAGAAAACAGAGCTCTTCTGATGTTCAGGAAATTTTTCTGGGAGGAAGGAACTGTGTTCATTTCTTCTGTCCCATTCTAGGGAGGTATGGCTTGTCCGAGAGCAGCCTTTGTTGGGCCACTGGGATCAAGATCCCAAGTGTCAAACTCAGCACAGCCCCTGCTTCTGAGTACACATCCTTCATTCCCTTCACACTGCAGAGTCCTCCTATCTCAGGTTTCATATGTCAGGAGAGGCAAGAATCCCAGTCATGGCTTTGCCTCCAATAAT